CGTTACCCCCACCGACGCAGCCCCAAACAGTTGCTTTACAAACTATCAGCCTTTCTTCAGCCAATTGTCATGTATGTGTGCTTTTGGTCTGGCCACGCCAACAGCGCCATCAACCCATGGCTGTACATCTCCTTGAGCACCAAGATCAATACCGCATTTGTAAGAATGATGAGTAGAAAAGGTAGCCAGTCGCCTCCGAATCTTAACGTCCAAACATGCCCCTTTACAACCTGAAGATGAAGCAGTCCAGGGAGAATCAAGACTGTGATATGTATCAAGAAGTCATTACTTATTCTATTACCTTAAGAGAAAGACAATATTAAAAAAACGTAAAAGTTTCAACCTTGCAGGATCAATATAATTAAAAGGAAATTCAAAGAGATTGATCTACTACAAGCAGAAACTACGCATAGCAAGATGTCAGAAGGTAAATGACATAATTGATATGTTGATATCAGATCCCGCAAGTGGTAATTGCTTCGAACGATTTAGTCTCGGCCAATTTACATGCCCCGACAAGAGCACTTTAGAAAACCATATGTGTTGAGGGCAGGGCTGCATGTAAGAAAGAAAAGACGTGTATTAAGAAAAATTTCTGTTGAATACCTGGTGGGACCAAATCTAGCAGTACCCATCCGTCTTGGTTTATACAAAGGAGGCGAATGGTATTGGGCGAGATTCTGAGTAAAACAACCTAGACAATCGAGCTACTTATACAAGGGATTTGATCCCATTAACTTGTCAATTTAACTCGGATTTATAGATAGCACAAAGGTAAAAGAAACACCATTACAAAAGTTTCCTTATCAGGCTAATACTTGCAACCAGACTTACAACAAGTAGCGAACGAAGGATTTTCCAAAAAAAGATCTTTACAAAATTTGTATCCAGGGGACCGTTCCTCAATAGTTCTGCCAACTTAACGGGCCCGAAGCCATATTTTATAATAAAAAGTTAAAGAATAGAGAAGCAGGTTCTGAACCTATAATCAGTCCATTCTGTTTCTTTCGCTGTTAGCTTTATTGTATAACTCCCAAAACGTTTGAAACCCCCATCTTAAATGAAACCAGAACAGCTTTACGGGCCTGTTATGTTAGCGGAACCTTCGAGAAATAGGGCCTGGAGTTGATTTAGATTGTTAGTTTAGATGTATGAGCAACCTGAATATCTTGTTTTTTATTCCTGTGAATGATCGTTTTTCTTCAGTGCTTCTGGTAGCGCTAATCAGGTGTATTTGCATGCGTTGTATTTTCGTAATCATAATTTCTCTCACTATTTCAGTAGAACCGTCTTCAAAGATAGCTTCGGATAGTTTAAGTTTGTTCAATTGGAAAATAAAGTAAAGTAAATGATAACAAGGATAACGTCTTCTGATGATAAATACACCGATGTTTTTCTTTCTGTGGGAAGCCGGTAGGATATGCTAGGATATTTCTTGTCCTTTTAATTTTCGTGGACGGGCATGACAGAAACGTTTAGTTAGAAAAACCGCAGTAACTCAGAAGAACTTTGAGGGAGAGAGGGCGGCAGGCAAGCGAAAATAACTATTCGACTACAAAAGGAATTATTTTAATACCCGTAACCTTATTCGTTTATATTTCCATCAAAACTTTGTCTTCGTGAGGGTCGGAGCCAACAAACCATCCTTTCATCGTCGAACGATTGAGATCTCACCCATGCCATTTTTTCTAATCAGTTGAACAGGCACTGGAAGCAAATTGTTTTTTCATGGATTCCCAATAATATATTTTTTATCAGCGTAAAGACTTAAATTTTGTAGTCAAAGTTATGTCAAAAGCACCTCAATAAAAGCTTTATTTATTGCCAGACGATGAGCGCTTGCTTTAAACTGGTGCTCAGACCCTTTTACCGTTTTGTCTTGCGCAATTTTGTATTGTTAAATGGATCAATCCGAGGCTCCCGTTCTCTTTCTTGGTTTTAGTAACATCTGTGCGCGAACTCAGCGCCTAAAATCTTAAAAAAAAAGAAAACAAGCACAGCCCTCCAGCGCTTTTCACGTAGAGTTACTACCAATTCCACATCCATGTGAAAAGCACTTAAAAAGCATGGCTTGGGTCGACGGCGGTTGAAACTCGGGCGAGTTTCCTTCAGTATCGCGGTCACAAATCTCCGGCATCACCAGTCCCTCAGAATATGGTCTCACTCTTAAAAGGGAGATTACATTTCTTGTAGGAACAGCTGCCAGGAGATAGCAGAACTTTGTATACGATTTTACTGAAATTCGACAAGAAGGTAAGAATTGTTTTGGGCAAGGTTTTCGCGTAACCCCGAATTTATCATGCATTCAGTAGCTGGGTAGAACAAAACAACGACAAAACAATAGATTGTCCTTAGGACTACGACTTGTTTCAGAGTAGTATGGGTTTATAAGGAAATCTATGCTCATTTTGTAGCATTGTTCAGCTAAACTACAGAATACAGGGCAACTTTTAGCCATCCTCTAAGCGAGCCACTGAATATACAGACCTAAGACTTAGCGCATAAAGAGTATTCCTCGTTCTTTTATTTACAACCCATCCAAACGAGCCAAATGCACCTTGAACGTAATGCGTAGTTTCATTAATCCTCGTTCTTTCACCACTGCCGTGCCGAAGGAGCCAAAGGAGGTCCAAGATATATGTTCTTTCAACAGTGGCTCTGTATTGTGTAGTTGGCGGCTCCCATTGTTTTACTTAAGCAGCGTTGGTAGTTGCTTGGGTGTCAGCTTTGAACCAGCATGTGCTTGAACCAGTGTGTTCTTCATCGAACCAATTACTGAACATAAAGGATGAAAATATGTTTGATTGCATTTCACAATCGGTGATTCAGCCTTCGGCTTAGATATTTAAAGCTTTTACGAGTCGCAAAGAGCTTTAACTCGTTGCGTTATTCCAACAAGGAAGCTCATTAAAAATGGAAATATACATGACGTTCAAAATTTAAAAAAAAAAGGATCAGTTTGCAATCACAGCCTGGGACACATGTTCGAAGACTTTTCAGAATTGCTTGGTCCATTTTGGCAAGTTCCCATGTGCAGTGGACTGATTTATAGCAGTAATTTAACGTTGCTATTTTTATCATATGCCATTCGTCAAAACATCTCAATCGAATTGAGTTTTTACAAACGTTATTTAATAGATGTTGACCGTTAAGCTTAAAAAGGCCGGAACCTCCTTCGTGAGCACCTCTAGGTGTATTGAAACTTCTACATCAAGTTGCGTCTGGTATTTGTTCTGTAACGCAATGATTTTTGCAACAGAAGCTTCTTTCATCTTGTCATATGATTTTGGTGCGGGCACGGACAAATCATCAGTTTCAATGTCATCTTTCCCGATTTAGCGTATATTTTCTAACCATTTCGGTCTGATGAGTGAACTGGGTTCTGGCAGAAGGATCTTATTACTGAACATAAAGCATGAAAATATGTTTGATTGCATTTCATAATCGGTAATACATGTTGACTGCCAAAAACGAGGAAATATACCGGTCCTCTCGTGCGCAAAGTTCAAATGTGAATGAAATGGAGCCTCTCCTAAACCTTCAAATTTGCAGGCTAATCACAAATTTAAGAACTTGACTGTGACGGTAATTCCTAAAGCAGTTTTACTTATCGCTTTTAGTTGCGTAAATATGTTATGCTATTGAACAGATTGACAAAAGTTAGAATTAGGATATAATCCTTTCCCAACTTTAGGCAAAGCGGAAACGGTTTTAGGTGTAGGATATCTAGTATTCTCTTCTCGTGACTATAAAAAGTTAGTAATACAAGGTTGTTGCACAGATTCCCCGACGAAATTACTGCACGCTCGATGATTCGTTTCACCACTGAATGTATCCGTCGATTATTATGTTATCACCTACATGCAAGTTATTCCTTTCAAAGATCGAGAGAAGGCTTTAGGCAAATCATTAGGCGTTTCATTTGTGTTGAAATCAGTCGGGGTCAACTGGAATCAATCCATCGGATAAAGACACGCAACTCAACCCATCAGTTGTCATAAGCTGTCCCTCTGGCTATTACCGTGAGCGACGGATTCTATAACGACCGCAGCCTCTAATTGTTATCCCAGTAACTGTTCCTTACTTCTCAAAAATTATTCATACAGAACAAAGATTTTCAGGCATTAGCCTGATAAGTGTCAGTTCAGGAGATGCTTCAGTAAGAAATTGTTTGTTTACACGTTCATTCGATTGTTCAAACGATTAAATAATGAGCGCACGGAAGTTTATATTGAGCTCCACAATCAAGAGGTGATGTACATGAAAGGAAATTGTCTTCTGTATCCATTCAAAAACCCCTCTAAATCCTATGAAAATTCGGCTGAATTAAGGAGTATGAAAAGATTAACTAAGAGCATGCGTCTTTTACCAGATAGGTCACCGGGTAAGATATCATTATAGACTCTCTTAGGTTCGAATTAAACGGAACGTTTTTTTCAGAGGCTGTGTACATTATTCTCACAAACGAATGATTGAACGATAATCTGCGAGCAAGCTCACGTTATTAGAGCGGGCTGCAGAACGCACGTTTCTCCACTTCCAGGAAAATTTGAGATAGGTCGGAGAGAAGTTAGCTGAGAGTCTGGCATTATTTTTAGCGCTCGGCCCCTTGCAGAACTCTTAAATCACACAATGAATTTGAATATATGAAAATGATAAATGTGAACTTCGGTTTCATGAGATGTATGAAAGTGATCCTCGCAGTAATAAGCCCTACTCATGTAGTAGTGGAAATAAGGCGTGAGAAAAACTCAGGCCCTTACGGGATTTGAACTCATGACATTTGCGATACCGGTGCAGTGCTTTACCAACTGAGCTAATAAGCTAACTAGTAATCGTCAGTGATTGGAAAAGGTTTTTTTGGAAACCCAGCAACCATATATCTCAGTAACCACAGAACATCTTCTATGGGCTCGTTTTGTTAGCGAATTGAACGTATCTGTGACGCACGGATACTGTTGAGATGAATTAGCCAAGTAGAATTAGTTTAAGTAATGTTATGTTGCAAGAGGTCAACTACATTGACGCAGTACTTATAGTCGATCCGAAGAGAGTCAAGTTAACATTTGTTCGAAATCACAACCCTTTAGCCTTTCTATTGATTCCTTACACCCCACCCCGTTCGTAATTTTATGGTGACGTTTACGCAAAACTTAGTTTTCCATGTCCTCGTACTTTATAACTAAGATTTTTCTCATTCCATTAGAGCTTAACAACAGACGAAGCAAAAAGCATGACATCAGTACTTGAAGAGATCGAAGGGATCATCCTAACAGTCCTTTACGCCATCACGATGCTCGTAGCATTTGTAGGGAATGGTTTCCTCATTTACATCGTGTGGAAGAAACCTGAGGTAAGATCACTGACAAGCTTCATATTCGTCAACATGGCCATTGCTGATTTGCTGGTGGCATTGATTGTGATGCCCTGGTCGATTGCCCAAGTACATACAGACGGCTTATGGATGATACCAGGAGTATTTAATAATAATAATAATAATATATATATATCACAGGACGAATTTTCATATTTCAGTGCCTTTAGGCAAAATCTAACGCATCCTAAAGATTTGGTAAAGCTTTAACTGTCTTTAAGTGTCAAATGAAATCTCCGAAAGCTAACGCCAACCTTTTATGAATCTTTAATTTAACATAAGTTTACCTTTAATAACGAAAATCTTTCATTATCCTTTAAGTGGTATCTTTTTTGGCACAAAAGAGGGTGTTTTATTAAAATACACTTAATTTGACTTTAAGGTGAGATTTAAACGAGTCTCGCTTTTCTGACATCTTTAATTGACGCATTAAAGATAGTCTCATCGTAATCCGAACTGTCAATAGAAAATTCATCACAAATTAGCCAACACTTGCATCGATCAGCGAGAAGAGCAAACTTTGTTCAACGCGCAGCAGCAAAGTTTGACGTGTTCACAATTCTTTCTGGGGTCGAAACATCTGTATTGAAATTTTTAAAGCGACGGTTTCATTTTTGCATCTCCTTTAAAGAGCGCATGGAGTGCGATGACAAGAAAGGATATGTTTTCTGCGCTCACTGTAATGACTTCGTATCATGTTCGACTTTTGAAAGGCATGAGCGGAAACGTGACGGGAAGAACTTAACAGATACTTTTGCGGGCTGAAGTTTAACCCGT